AATCCCAGTTGCTGTGGTTCTAGCTCTTGTGAAGGCCGTCGCATTAGAGTAATAGGCTTCGCTGATCGCTCAGCCAAACACTGATACTTACTTTCCCAGGTTACAGGTACTTGTGCGTAAAGTGCTGCAGCGAAAGCAACCGGTTGTAGACCATCGAAGAAGAGGACCCGCCTGTCGTCCTTTCGAGCTGAGTTGATGGTGACCTTTTAGCAGATGATACATTGTACATAACTGAAATTAATAATACTTTACTCAAGGTTGCGTTATTGCCTGTACTCATGCGGAGTGGAAAGAGCTATTCTGAACCCCGCCGTGATGCATTTTCAACGGCCTGTCACCTGTGACATGGCCGCCCGGGTGAAAATGGTTTGTATACAAATTGTATGAAAAAAACCAAGAAAAACCGCCCTAACACTACTGGATGACGTTAAGCCTTGTGCCTCTCACACAAGTTGCTGTGCGCATTTACAACCGGCCGTGTTAATCAACCAGCAAGTGACAGGCCGAACCCGCTTCGGTTGTGATCGTCCTCGAAGGCGAAGTCCCAGCTCGGACGCGGGTCCAGCCTGTGACCCGCCGGTTGATTGACACGCCCGGTTGTAAATGCGCGCAGGAACTACCGAATGCGTAGTCCATCTACTTAATCGTCCTTGGGTGAAAGGCACAAGGCTTGACGTCATCCAGTAGTACTGGGGCGGGATGCCGACCGGTCCCATCCATGAGGGCATTCCAAAATCACACGGTAAAAAGAATGTCTTGAAATCCGAGGACGTGTCTTGAATTTCAAGGTCGGGTGGATAATTTCAAGATTGGCCCTTGAAATCCCAGACTCTGTCTTAAAACCCGTAGCTTCCAAGGAAAATCCTTGGAATTTTTGTCTGGTATTCAAGGGTTTTTCTTGAGGTACTCAGATCGCGCTTCAAGGAAAACCCTTGAATACCAGACAAAATTTCCAATGATTTCCCTTGGAGGCTACGGGTGTCAAGACAGAGTCTGAAATTTCAAGGGCCAATCTTAAAATTATCCACCCGACCTTGAAATTCAAGACACGTCCTCGGATTTCAAGACATTCTTTTCACCGTGTAGTGGTCAAGTCACGGATTTTTTCACGAAGGCCCCTGCCAGATGATACAGCAAGTAATTGCGGTTAAAAGGAGCACACGCTACCAATCTACGATTAGCGAAACCATGGGCGCATCGCATTTTTCGCGACGTGTCACGTTTTGCGGGCACCGGTTACAGCTTTTTCCTAATCCCGTTTTTCCAAAGACTTTATCTCCCAATTCTCATACTCCTAATTAGACTTTCCCAAAGAAATAATTCGAAACTACTTTTTTTCACCAATTTATGATCTTCCCAGTGGAATATTTTCCTACTCCCCCTCAATATCCGAAAACAGACTACATGGTAAAATTGTGGCCCAAGGCCTTCAGCTACTACCATAAAAACGTAAAAAATGCAACAGTTCTACGCCCAAGAACCACTAAAACGCACACACAATCATGCTTGAATCACTGACAATAATTAACGATCACCACCATTCACTTTTAACATGTAGAATCATTACAATAACTTAAATCATCCTGAATCATTTACAACAATCACCCACAATCATTTACAATCAAATGTGAATTAAAAGGCTGAACTTCATTTTAAAGAGTGGCAGCCCTCGGTTACCGCGCACCGGGTCGCCGTCGCTGGCCGCATGGCCCGCACAGGCAAGCCTCATAACGAGGTACCCGCAAAACGCGCGAAAAGACACGTCGTGATAAATGCAATGTGTCTATGGGTCCGCGTATCGCAGAATGGTGAGCGTATGATCGTTGTAACCGCAATGAATGTTCTATCATCTGGCAGGGTCGTTGATCAATCGATTTTTTCACACGGCCTAATAGGTGAATATATAGCACTGTTAGAAAAACACACGGTAAAGGCCTACGGTCTGCGCTGTAAATATGTCATAGAGAACAGACCGTATCTTGAAATAATGTTGAGGAAATGCAAGTCGAATACAGCTCTAGCCCAAACAAGAAAGTACAGTTTATACTGTTGGCTGAAAATACCACTGTTAAAATTATATCATAACATTTTCATTGCATGTTGTGAAGCTATTTGCATTAGATCTGCTTAATGATATTTCATTAGAATGTAATGAAATGTAAAGAAAAAGTTATTAAATACCATTACGAAAATCTAATGGAAATAAGATTCACAATGTTATGAAAATGTAATGAAATACTTTCAACAGTGCGGTACGGACCGTAGGCAAACCGAACCTGCCCACGGTATTTTTCACTGTGACGTTACTTGCATGGATCAGAACCAATCACCCAGCTTACTGGTGTTTTGGCTGGGGTCGAGGAGCGAACACGGAGTCTACTCAGTCGACAAGAAGCATCTGCACTCTGAGACATATCCAAGAAAATTACAGTTCACATGGCTCGCGTTATACATGGCAAGCACATCCTAATATGAAAACCGACACGAACAGTCGCCATAATCCGATTTGGTGTGAAGTATTCCCAAATGCAGGCTCTATGTATTCTAATGAAGTGGTATTTTTTCGGATGTTGGAGCTTGAATCTTTCTTCAGTGCTCACACGAAAGGAAATGTCCTATTTAGTGTAGTCCCTTCAACCTGCACCCAGCACGCCATTACCCTAGGTAGAAGCCAATTGCTTTGCCGTGTGTCTAATGACAGACCGTAAACGGCCAAATGCGGTAGTTATGATGACTTTGTGACTGAAGCACCCAGGTGGTCGTAAAAAAGCGATCCGAAGGCCTAAGGAACTTGGCGTTTCCCGAGAGAAAATCGATTGAAATCACGTGCACAGCGGATTTGAATCGGGCCACCTCTTTAAAACTCAAGATTAACCTCAACGAGAAAACTGTTCTATTGAATAAATACCCCCCAGCACCATTCAAAGCTTACGGCAAATTTTCACCGTAAGCTACGATGAATAGCACTGTATGTTACGGTGATGCAACCTGATTCACCGTAGCTTCCGGTGAAAATTGACCTCAAGCTACACTATTTCAGTGTAGATTACGGTGAAATTTAACGCAAGAGAGATTTTATTTGTCACTCATCTCGCTCTCCTCAGAATATGATATATTATGACAAGCATTTTCAGTGGTCCACTGGCACCTTCAGTATATGGTCTGATGGGTTCTCGTGAATCCAGGACGAGGGGTAAACAACCCTGAGATGATTGTACAAATGCCTTCAAATGGTTCTGAAATAGCGTGAAATGTACTTGAAATGGTTGAAATGGTTTTGAAATGGTTAAAATGGTTCGTCACTAAATTGTCTTGAAATCGGCTTGGAATGGTTGAAATGCTCTTGAAATTGATATGAAATGGTTGGAATGGTCTTGAAATTGATATGAAATGGTTGGAATGGTCTTGAAATTGATATGAAATGGTTGAAATGGTCTTGGAATTGATATGAAATGGCTGAAATCGTCTTGAAATGGTTGAAATGAAATGGTTTAGAAATGGTCTTGAAATGGTTGAAATGGTCCTGAAATAGTTGAAATATTTTGAAATCTGAAATAGTGGTGTACACCAAAATTAGTAGTTGTTTACCCCTCGATCCAGGAGCACGTTGGCATACAGCCAGATTCAACTCACAAGACAATAGGGTATCCCCAACTGGGAACGAGAGTCGGAAATGGCGCTGGTCCGAATTTAGGCTCTTGGCCTCTGCATCCGCGTGTCTCATCAGGGGGTAGTAACGAGGCGCTTCTGAGTGACCCCATGCGGCGCTTCAGTCAACTCAACCATATTCAATCAAAACGTTTCAAAAACCATGACAACGAGTAATGAATCGAAAGGGGAGGAGTTAAGCTACATCCCAGTGTGCCTGCGAACTAGTTTCGGTCGTCCGAAGTGAGTTTAAAGAAAGTCTGAAGGCAGAGCAAGCTCGACGTGGCCCGGCCGGCCCGTGCACGCATCTCGTGTTGTTAAAATTTCTCCGCGATTTCGCTACGGATCAAATTTCTGCGGTGTTATGGTGAAAGTAGACTAAATTGGTGAGAGCACTGACTATAAGCGAGGCTGATCGCACTGTAAAAAAAAATCACGGTCACCCATACGGAAATATGCCGTTTACTTAACCTACGGCGTCTCCGTACCTTGGGTTTCGCACCCTCTTCCCATAAGAGCCCATGTAAAAAAAAACGTGGGTACGGAAAGGTACGGAAAAAGTCCTGCTAATTTTGATCCCAAGGTCTTCGTCTTGAGTACGGAGCCTGTCACGGCGTTCCGTACCCCCTTCCCTATGCAAGCCCATGTAAAAATCGTTAGCACGGTGGCCATGTACGGCAAATCTCCGAACCGCTTTCGAAAATCACTCCCAAAAGTGAGGTACGGAACGCCGTGACAGGCTCCGTATCCAAGACTGATTTTTTACAGTGGGTCAACAAAGAAGGTTCGAAAACAGTGTTTGTGTTTCAGGTTATGTTTTTGTTGCTATGAACACCATTCAAACAAACCTTACCTAAAGCTACAAGCCATGCGGCTGAGAATCGATCAACACCATCCTTGCCTCCTGTATCCTTGTCCAAAATACCATGTTTATTCAATATTTACGAGCTACTTACTTTTAGTTAAGATTCCTACTACTACCCGGGAGAGTGGCTTGACTGAAAAGCTGTGTCGCCTCGCACTCCTGATCCCGACCCCGGCCGGCCGCTGTGCAAGACTCGGTGGTTACCCCCTCTACTTCCTTTCTCAGAGCAACAGTGGAGTGAAGGTGTCTCTAGCCTACCCACCCGTTTCATCGCCTCAACTGCCTGTCTAGAGGAATTGCCGCCTCCCGAAGCCTGTTACGCTTGGAGTCTACAACCAGTTATAAGACGGGTGGTGGGAGCCCTCGGAGCTGCGCCAACGGAGAAGAAATGAATCACACGGTGCGAGTCAGATAGTATGGTGAGTAATACAAATCACCTCAGCCTCCTGACAGTGTTCGTGGGGTGGTAATTGATAAACTGCATGTCTTACACGTGGTGTAACATTGTTTATTTATTACTACGTAGTCTCTTTGTAGTAGCTGGTTTTACATGATGGTTTGAACAGGTCATCGTCAGCGCTTCCTGAGATTGACAAGGACCTGCACAAATTGAAACCAGGAGCGCATCACTCGCCGGCACGTTGGTCTGTTGAGCGAGCCAACTCCTGCGACTTTGAACCGAGCCGGTGGCGACGCCATGACGATGAGCCGGAGGCGGCGAGTCGCCGTGTTTTCCTCCAACCAAGGACCCTAGACAGAAGAGTGTTCATATTTTCTTACCAACCTCGTTGTTTATAGCACGGTCGAGGAAGAGACGGTGGGCGTACGAGGGGTCTGCTCGTGATTCCACAATCTCGACAGGTTGAGGGTCGGGGCCAACTGTAGGGCCTGTTCACACTACCTTCAGTCGGGGGCGCCGTGCAGGTAGGTAGGTCGGAAGCCCAGACTCAGCTTGCGCGGGATGGGCTCCTACCTGACTCTCTCTGTCGCACAGGGTGCTTCTCTGTCCCACACTCTGGCAGGGTGGGCCTGGGCGAGGGTCGGTGCCGCTCAAGCTAAGTCGGCGGCCCAGCTACCTGCATAGGCCGCCCTGACTGCAGGTACTCTGTACCGGCACGTTAGATAGCCACGACTCGGGCGTTAATCCCCCAACCTGTCGAGATCCTGGAACCACGGGTCCCTATGCTGGGAGACCCTCGTGCCCCCACCGTCTCTCCCTCCACCGTGGTTCATAGCTAACTGGAATCTGTAAAAACGCTCAACTTACCGTGCAGTACGCCAGTATGAAAATTTTTCTTCATAATGGCGTATTTTAAAATTCGTAAGCTGAGCGTTCACAATTTCAGTAAGCTATTAAAAAAAAATAAAAAAGTATTAGATTCTAGTGTGTATATTGCGATTTTCAGTCTACTATGGGAAATTGTAGGTCAAAGTGACATCGAAAGACACGTCAAAATTTTCGGCTCAAATTCATATTTAGGGGTTATTTGTAGCTTTCGTTCCAAAAGCTACTACTGTAGTTCAACTATTTGTTAAAATTTTCTACATTACATAGATACTGGTATCTCGTTACATTGCGATGCCTTGCCTTGGACGAAAATTTCCCAGGGCGCAATCTCGTCACCGTCACTGTGTCGTTCGATCGCGGTCGCTAGAAACTTGCCAGATCGTCTCGGCGTCATCATGGGTGAGAGACGGGATGGTGCGACGGGATAGCAATAGGGTGTTCCAGGCCATCTAAAACGGAAGTAGGAAAAGAACAAACTCACTGACCTCTCTGTTTCCGTAATGGCTCTGATTGGTCGAGCTTATCACGTGCCTCCGAGGCCTTTCAGATATGAGAAACTGTCAGATATTTAGTAACAAGTTGACTGGTGCACTAACTAAACGTTCCGTGAACGTCAACTATACTCGTCCTTTACTAGTTTGGCATGGCATGCTGCAAGTTAGGGCAGATCTGAGGGGGCAACTACAATCGTGAAGTATGAAAAGAAGAAACTCACTGACTTTTCTGTTTTCGTAATGGCTCCGATTGGTCGATCTAATCACGTGCCTCCGCGGTCTTTCAGGTATGAGAAACTTTAAGATCAGTTTCGAGCTCCCCTCCATATTTGAGAGGTTAGGATCGGACCAAACTGCCATGGTAGTTTCTCATACTGGGCGGACGGAAACAGATAAATCAGTGAGTTTGTTCTTTTTCACTTCCGTTTTGGGTAGCCTGGAACACCCTATACGCACCTCGACTCGAGTGGTTACGGGATTCGGCACTAACAGTGTGCTTGCCAAAGCATACTGTACGTGTATACTTACACGGTAGGCTGCGACGGACACAGTTCGACTTGCGTCCTCGATTTGCTGACCAACAATACACATCGGTACGAAAAATACAAAAAGGTAAAGAGCGCACGTGGAGGCGAACCCGTCGGGTGCTCCATCGGAAAGAATGAGGGCAACCTGGTAGACAAGTAAATCTATATAGTTTTTATTACGACGGTCTGTGTTGGAAAGCGGTAAACAAAGTAGATAGGGTAAGATGCCCTATGATGACCACCTTAAGAATGGGCCTGCCCAATGATGGCCACCCATTTTTCTTGTGATGTAGACAACGATGTGAAGTAGTTTGGCTTATTATGCCCCAGTAGAGACCTTACTAGAACACAACTTTAAGGCCAAGATTGTAAAGTGACCAGATTGGCTAGAAATCGAGAAAAGTGGCCATCAGTGGGACAGTGGCCACAATAGGGCACCTTACCCTCCACGGTTTATCAGTCTGTGAATGGTGCCCCCGCGCCCGCTGTATAATTTTATGGATAATGGATACTAAGGTCTCCGTGCGATCGCACTTCATCCCACCCTTCCGTTTGATACGCTGTACATTGAAAGCAAGCGCAGTTTGCGCCCTATGTTTAATAGACGGTTCCGGTAGTGCCCGTTTAAAGAAGAATTAATGACATCGCCACCGGAGACAGTTCTAAATTAATGGCTTATATTGGTGAAAACTAAAATTGACAGTTACTAGAGATTAAATCGAGGTCATTCACGTCGAACTGCACTGTCAAATGACAAAAATAAGCGCACTTAAGGTACTGGTTCCGGTCCTGACTTCTTCATTTCTTCTCAAAAAGCGCACTGTCGGAACGGTCTATTTATTAGTTTCACCTCAAATTTTTATAGAATACAAGCTCAATCCCCAGAACGGAGTGATAACAATCTGGAAGTGTTCGTCGCTGTATTTCTGATAGGAGTTTGTATTTTAGTTATCCTTCCTGATTTTATGAACGAAGTTTTGTTCACATTTGCTTTTCAATGTCGCTACTAATATGAGAAGTATATAGGCTTACTGATTTTTTGTAAAGAAACAGAGTTATCTTTGTACACTATTAAAATCCTGCGACGCAATGCTTTGAAATTGCGAAGAACTTTGATTCTTTGCAATTACGATACATTTTTCTCTGACCAAAATCATTCGCATTTGCAAAGCACTGCTTCGTAGTATTTTGACAGTGTCTGTAAATTTGATTATCTCTGGCACAGAATTATTACACTAAACTGCAAAATGCTTGGGGAGAAGAGCCTTGAAAAACAAGCGTTGGGTTACGGATTTATTATTCGTAAGCTTACCAACAAAACAGTTCGTAATGCAAACCTGTTGTTCGTAAATAAATACTTCACCCTAACAAAGAATAGGGTATTTCACGCGGAGAAGCGGCGGGTGGGAGGGGAGCCTCCCCGCCCGCCCTCCGCTCCTCTGCGTGCCCGCCCCCACCACCGCTCTCTGTATCCGTTTTTGTTCTTAGTTCCGGCCAGCGTTCCATTAAAATACCCTATGGAGCACTGCCCGGAACTAACAACAACGGATACAGCAACCGGTGGTGGTGGCGGGCGCTCAGAGGAGCGGCGGGTAAAGAAGAGCCTGTCCGTCCGCCCTCTGCTCCACCGTGGCCCTGTCCCGCCACCAGCCACGGTAGCCGTTATTGTTCTTCTTAGTTCCGGGCCGCGCTCCATTGAAATAGGGTATTGGTCTAGAGCGCTGAGCGGAAGTAGAAGAACAAAAACGGAAGATGGAAGGGCGCCCGCACTGCTCCCCGCCTGCCGCCTCCACTTCTCTCCGGGCGCTCCCCCATTCCGCCCAGTAGAGGAGAGGGAGACGGCCCGGGCGCCTTTCCGTCTTCCGTTTTTGTTCTTCTACTTCCGCTCAGCGCTCTAGACCAATGCCCTATACCCTACTGTTCTGCATCTGCAATACTATTTCTTTCAGATACGCAGAATGAAAATTGTTCGAAACGCTGCAGAGCATTTTGTTCGTTAGCATTTTACAGTGTCGCTATTGTCATGTTGCTTCAATAACTGAAAGGCAAAGAAGATAAAACGAATGTTGTACATTCGTAGTCATCATATGTATGTCTTTTATTGGCTGAGCGATTAGCGAAGCCTATTACTCCAATGATGATGAGAAAGTTTCGCGTCTGTCTGTCACATAGCTCGAGAACGAATTGATCTAGCGACCTTGGATTTTCAGGGTCGTTTTGTGCCATAAAAAGACAGAGCAAGGTCGAAGAAGAGCATTCTACCTCAAAAATTGGTTTTTTAAAAAATCACAAATTACAGGTCACAAAAATAACTCATCAGTTGAGCCCTCTGAGCAAAAATTTCGTCCGTTTGGCTCTATCTTTAACCGTTGAGGCGTCAGAGGGAGTTTTTCACACGGAAATGATCCCGAACCATTTCAATGTATTTTCTCAGACATTTCATGGTATCTGATGGGTCAACTCGCCAAAATAAAACCCTAAGGAGCAGGGTTTGTGACTTTTGGGGCCGAAGGCCTATTTACGACTCTTTCAAACTTTTTTCAAAACTTTATATTTTCTTACAAATAAACAAGCAGGCCCGCCCTTCCGCAAACGAAGTTGCCAGCTCCGCTTCGCTCCGCCAGCAATAGATAGTATAGTACTTCGACGAGTTACCCCTTAGGAGAACATTATAAAAAATTCCTTTTTGTGAGATTTTTTGAACCTTGGATACCCCCATTCACACCCTTAGGGGTGGTTGCCAGGATTTGCCGTAGGCGTTTCGTTCTCTAGGAGTGGACCTTAAGATACCCTGAAAATTTCAAGCACATCTCCTTCTAGTGGAACAGACAGACACACAGACACACACGATGTCGTTTGCATAAGCCCGCAAGATAGCTGTTTCAAAGCAGATGGGCGGGCTAAAAAAGGGGCCCGGTGTCCTACTGCCTGATCATTTCTCTTGAAAATGTTCCCTCACCCAGGTTTTTAGTCAAAAAAAGAGAAAAGTTGCGCGCAAGACGTGAAAGTGGAACGAAACAACAGAAAGGACTGAGTTGACCCCCATACTACCTTTTATCAAGAGGAATGCAAAAAAAGGGCTAAATAAAGTAAACAACATTTAGAACTACTTTGAGACCAAGAACTATGAAGAGAAAAGAAACATATTAGTGCAACAAGAAAGAATACCTGGACGATACTTAAGGCAGCAGCCAACATCACTGATACCAAAGAAACAGAAATAACAGCTCTGCTGAAATATGCAGGGCATTTACATGCAGGTGAATCAAACATAGTAACTGCTCTCAATAAATTCTACATAAATGTTGTTCCTACTCTATCTAGTTCACTTACAGTGCTGCAGGGTGGCCATCTAGAGCTTGAGCTTCCGAGTCAAACTTGCATAAAACTACAAGAAGTGTGTGTCACAGAAGTTGCTAAAATCATAAAGAGTCGGTCGACCAAGCACTCGAGTCCAGATGGTATCAGCAACCACGTTATTAAGGTAACTGAAGGAAGTGTAACACCACTCTTAACAAAAATTGTAAACTAGTCTTATGAAGAAGGAGTGTTCCCACAAGGAAAAAAAAACAACAGAAATTATACCAATTTACCAATTCATAAATCGGGACCAACAGATGACCCAGGAAACTATCGACCTATTGCTATCTGCCCCGTCAAGAGTACAAGAAAAGGCAATGCATCAAAGGCTGAATAGACATCTGCAAAATAAAATTGTGCCGCTACACCAATGTTTACCTTAATCTAATGGCATTGTAGGAAATCTTTGTTATTATGACGAAAATATCATGGCTAATTTTTAGTACAGGGGTGTCGTCATGGGTCTTTTCGTCACGGGGACGAGAAAACCGGAGAAAACCCTTGTCATGTGACGAAAAAACCCATGACCACACCCCTGTAATAAAAATTAGCCATGGTGTATTCGTCGTCGTGACAAAGAATTTTTACCGTGAGCCCATTAGAGCTTGCTCTTCGGACACCCGGTCACCCATTTGTTGCGAAATAAAGAAATAAAAAAATAAAAAGCAAATTGGAACGGGTTTAAACATTAAAGGTTTGTGGCCTGATCCTCCCTAATTTGGTATTTTATACTCACAGTGCTTAGCATGGACATGACCACGCTCACCAGCAAGTACTGTGGGAG